ATATTTCTCTATATTATGTGTATATTATGTGTATTATTTAAGGATGAAAATGAAGAGAATGTAGAAGAAGGACCAGGGAAGAATTTAGGTATTGAGATGATTTATAATTTACAAGTTATAATGTTATTAGATCAACTTAAATCATACCATAGTAAACATGGTAAGTTTAGCCTTTTTATTTTCATTAAGGGTATATAATTGCATTGTGAATTGGGTTTCTTATGTTCTCAACTGCATGTTGAAGTGGATATACAGTGGATTCTTGTTTACTTTAACTGCTTGCCAACAAGTCGAAAAATCTGATATCAACACGTTTTTTAATTACAGTTAGAACAATATTGATTATGCTAGACTAGCGTTGATCTGGTTTACCTGTCAATAACAAGCATATTGATTAGTATTCACCATCAAGTCGCTGGTCACTGTGTGCTCAGACTGATGATTTTTCACAAGCGCTTTTCTATCTCTAAGGTTTTAAAATTGACTTTCAGTACCAAAATCATGACTGCAATCAAATTTATTTTTACACATTTACCTGTATAATTGATAGCCTGATTTTTTTTTGATTTTTTTTTCTGAATTAAGTATTGACTGAAAAGCAGATAATATTGTAAATTATGTAGAAAAAAACCATTTTTTTTTGCAGATTCAAGTATTATAATAGATGATACAGAGCCAATAATGTGTCTACAAACACTATATTCTATGACATTTACATCAATTGGGTTAGAAGCTGTAGTTAATGTATTGGCTATGGAAGATAATTTAGATGCTCTGATACCATTTGTTAAAGCTGAAGGTATAATTATTTTACTTTGTCAATTTGATATTGTGGAATCTTCAGAAAGTGACAATTAAAGTTTGGTGTCTCGGACTAATATAATGTATTAACAACAACACGAAGGTGTCCCCAACACAGACTACAATAAACGAACTAGTTCCAAAGCCACGCTTTCGACACTTCCTAGCATGCCGCCATACAGTCAACAACGTGGCATGAGGTTTTAACCATCTTTTTCTCTATGTAAATCACTGATATGGCATATTACAAGCTTAAGTTATAGATAAAGCAAGATTTTATAAAGGGACAGCTGGGCCATTTTTTTGACCAATCATACTTTAGACTAAGAAACGGGTATTTTTTAGCTAAGCCAATCGGTAACAGTGTTCACAGCTCACTGTTGAATTTTGAGCCTTCAAATCCATGTGTGTCCTGAATTAACTCATCATTTTAAGAGTAAAATTTCTAGTTTGAGATATTTTTAAAGGAATTATGCGATTTCCGTACATTTTTAGTACTTCTGAAGACTATGTATATATATTCAAGACTAAAATCGACCCCCTAAAATGCTGCACCTGTCCCTTTAATAGATACTCATTACGCTCTTAGTTTCATAACATCATCAGGAATATAATGATCAGATCAATATGAATATTAGAATTTTATTTATAATAATTTTAGTGGTTGGGGCAGAAAGTTCTAACTCTTTCTGCAGAACATTAATTCATGCATTAGATGGGTATTGATTTGCAATAACATTTGAAAAAATCATTTGCATTACGTTAATTTCATCAATTGGATGCATTCTTTATCAAATATTGGTAAAACACAAAACTCTATTCCATTACAGTTCATGTTATTGACTTCAGAATTACGTTTTATAAAACAACAGGTTAGATGCTTCACTCCATGACAATTTTTCTTCAACTGGTCCTAGGACGAAGGAGTTAGTTTTGTCCAACTAAAAACTCAATGTTGATATATTTATTTAGATGACAAGAAGAAAGAATTAAGAAGATCAAAGTCTGTCTGTACAGCGTTTGCAACAGAATTATTAAGAGTTTTGATAAAGAATTCCACCAACATCAAAATGTTAGAGAAATATTCTAGTCAACTTATTACTCTTAGTGAAGATGGTAAGCTTGTTGTTAATATTCTGAAACTTGTTCAAAAATCAGCAATTACATCCTAATGCATCTTCACAATGTCAAGTTATTACAAACTTTATCTTATACCTTGACTGCAAGAGACATGTTTCAAAGAATGCAGCGATTTGATTGGGTTGTATTCCAGTGAATACAGTCTACTATAGCCTTTGACACACAGACTGAAAATATTAAGGCTTATTGTTTACAGACTTTCCATCAAGGACTCTGATTGGCTGTGTTAGCTAATGTACAATCCTATCAAATAGCAGCATTTGTGAATTTCTGTGATTTAAGAAAGGTGGCTATTGCGGTCAAGGTATAAGACGACGTTGGTTATAGCTTAACATTGTGAAGATGATCCTTATGTTGCATGAATTGTAACTAAGATATCAGATGGTCTTAATTTCGTTGCAATAATGAGAATGGTAATTCCATTCACTCTTTCTCTATTTAGAAATAAATACCAAATTAACAGAAATCCAGGATTGGTTGGCACCGTGTCAGAAACAGTCTTATGGTTACGAGGGTCTGTCTAGTATGATCAATTTATTAAAACATACATCAGAAGAGATCCAGAAACAACCCATGCCTTTAGTGACAGTTTTACGTCTGCTACACAATCTAGCTATACCATCTGATACTAGATTCCCTGATGGTAAGATTATTTTACTGTTACTCTTTGAGTTTCCACAAAGAATTCCTGTGTCTGGCATAGAGGTAGCATGGGCATTAATCATTTTAAGGTTGGAATACTCTTGAAATTTGGCTAATGTATCTGCCCTGATAAAATTTTCCCTTTAAAAACTTATAAATAAAGCAATAAATAAATTAAATCAGTTACTTTATACATGGTGAACTTTAAAATAAAATAGACAGGGACATTCAGCAACTTTTGTCATGCAAATTTAGAGTGGAATTTTGTAAAATTTCTTCCCACAGTAGTTCAAGGGTCAAAATCGATGTGTGTGGTTTTGATTTATCATTTTAAGGTTGGAATACTGTTGAAAATTGGCTGTTACCCTGATAAAAAATGTTCCTTTATTTTCTGCTGAAGGTAGCTGTAAAACATTTTATACCTATTTTGTTATTGTAGAAAATCCAAAAGAGTTAAAGTATAAATATGCTCTAATAGAACTATATAGTGCTGATTGTTTACCAATATTAATGACAATACTACAGGTAAATATTACATCCTCTTCTGTTTATTTACTGAACATTTAGATGCCAATATAACCAGCTTTGTGGAATCTCCACATAGTGATATAAGATGTTTGAAATGCAAGAAAATGTCCTGTCCTTAGTGTATCATTTAGGAAAATAAATATATATTTTGAAATATTGTGAATGGGTTTCGTACAAAATCCCTGAAACTAGGGTAGTAACTACTGTGAGTTTGTTCCTCTGATGTGCACAGACTGGAACACTGGATATATTGACGCCTTATCACTTTTTATACGCCCACATCTCTCTATGTGGTCGATCTGTCCGTCCGTCAACATTTGCTTGTAAACGCTGTAAAAACTAGATTTTTTGATGGCATCAAATGAAATTCGGGGTATGTATACATATTCATAAAACGAAGATCAAGTTCGAATTTGAGCTATTTTCGTACGTTATTGCCCTTGTCCCAAAATCTTGAAAATTTACCATCCGCATGCTGTGGTAGGCGTATATGACTGTGGTCCACTATCTTTACTAACATGTGATGGGCAACATTTTATACAAACATATGTATATATTCTTAATCCATTGCAACAGGAAAAACATGAAAATTTATAACCTTACTATAACATTGATTGAAGTATTTATTATTTGTAGAAAATGAATGATAAAATGATGAGGCCATGGCAACAAGGGTTAGCTCAGACTTGTGATCAGTGGAATATGATACTATCTATAACACAACCTACTATTAATATTGTTAAAGCTACAATACAATATCTAATAGAATCTAGAGGTGCTCTGGTAAGTATAACTTTATACTTTACATGAAAGTTCTTTACAAAATGCTACATTTCTGGTAAGGTTCATCAAAATGTAGTGATGGTTGGGTGAATTGACATGGAATTGTCCTTATGTTTTGATATTTTTTTTATTTGGATTTATTTAAGTTGTTTTTTCTGTTTATTTTAGTTCAAAGACGTGACCAATATACCAGTTTTATTAGAACTACATACGGTACTATGTTCGGCACCAGTTAATAGTATTTACACTGCACAAGTAATCAAGGTAAGTAAAATAGTGGTTCATCTACGTATTGGCCCAACTTAACATTTAATTTATTATCTCCACTGGAAGAGAGCATCTTCACAATGCCAAATTATTACAAACATCGTTTAATACCTTATACCTTCAGCAAATACAACCACATACATAGCCTTTGAATAGATGTTACTTGTGCAGCTATATTGTAAAAGCCTGTCTGTTGAGAGCAATGAATGGCTATATTCACGAGCGTACAATCCAATCAAGTTCTTGCAATTACAAACTTCTATGAAATTGAATATTCTATAATATATAGATACAGAAGAATATAGTTGATATTGTATTAGCTTATACTCAGCCTGTTTTAAACCAAGCTGACACAGAGGACGGTAAACATTATAACTATTATGAATATTATATAATTTGATTAAAGATGGGTTTCCTTATTTTTTAGTGTCAAATTAAGCAAACTATTTGATTAATTGGTGTTTCTAATGAATTATCATGTATTCTTAATCATATCATTATGTTGCATATCATTAAGAGTTTTAATCAATCATAAATGTCCATGTATGTACAGTCTGGATAAACAAAAAAAACTATTTGACCTTTCTTGATCAGTTATTGGAATTCTGCTGGCAATTCTCTTCTAATTTAGCTAATTATGAATTAATTATGGACATGTGAGACAAACTGGTATTTTTCCAAGTCATTAGAATACCTCTACTTTCTATTCATATAAGTATTATCATTTTCATTCATGAAAATAAGGGAACCCATCTTTAAGTCCATATGTATTTTTGTAAAGTTATTTGATAATAACACGGTGTTTAGTTATGGTAGCTTCAGCAAGATAGATGCTTTCTGGCTCAGTTGAAGGTGCTTGGTGTAATTCAAGCATAGCCAAAGCTACCTTCAGAAATTTACCAAAAGGGGTACCATAGTGCTGTATTAAAAAAATATTTCCCTCATTCAGAGTGTTGAATCCATTTCATCTGAATGTAATGAACATTTACCAAATATTTTATTTTAGTTCTCAGTGAAAGTTTATGGACAATGACAATTAAAGAGATCTTCAAACACACATCTAAATCACCATATTGTTACATGGGTGGTATGTTATTATTGTCAGAGTTATTGCCCTTGCCTCTACCACTCCAAACCAAAGAGGTAAGTCTTGCTTTACAGTATATATAACTGGACAAAATTATACAGATAACAATTTCTTAGATAAAAAAATTGGCACACTTTGGACAATTTTTCACTCGTGTTAAACACAATTGCTGTATAATTGGCATTAGACTCAATTATAGTTGAATTTTGACGGTTTTGCGTTAATTTGTTATAATTGTACATGCGTATATTGACAAAAAAATTTATAAAGAAAGTCACATGGATTGGAGGGTTTTTGTCATTGTAAATAAGTGATATATTTTATTGTATTGTAGCCACTAAGTGAAACAGAGATCCAACAAACTATTAATGTTCGTAAACTATGGAGTGCTCATCTACATCCTTTAACATCACAGTTTATTGAGATGATATCTAACTTCTTAGGTAATTATTTATTTAGTTTAGATAATCATTATTGAGGTTTTCTAGGAGTTCAATATACGGTTGCTACTGTAATGTTTTGGGCTGTATTCAGCGCTCTTACGTTGACTAAAGTTGAACTTTGGCTAAAGTCGAACTTTACAAAGTTAGGATTATGGCTTTCATTTTCTACATTTGATAGTCAAATTTAAGCATGACTTTCGTAAAGATCGACCGGTGCATACCTAAAGTTCGACTTAAGTCTAACTTTAGTCAAAGTTTTGGTAAAGTACCAGCGCTGCATATGGCCCTTTGTTTCTTATGGTTGGTCAATGATTTTACGCTGGTTGCAACACACTCATACTGCTAGACCATAATGTTACATGGTCTAGTCTGCAGAAGTCTGAATAAAAATTGAAATGGTTCAAACCAATGCTATCAATGTCCCAAATACATATAAAAAGTTTAGAAAACCTCTTGAAAATAACTACAAGTTCCACTGTGTGTACTCTCTCTTTAAAAATCTTGTTTATTGATTATACACATATTTTCAGTATCCGGTTGTCAGCCATTACAGAATATCATTAGACGTGTTTGTTGGCAGATGACTGATTTATCAGCTCCCGCTGCACAAATGTTAATAAGGTAATCTGCTTTCTTCATTTTCTGTTTATTTCCATTTCTTATTTCTCTTATCAATATACCTCTCTTGATTAAAATATTATGTACGTGTAGTTTGAAAGAGAATTATGAACTTTATATCTGGCAAAGTATAAGAGGTTCGAGTAACTTTAATTTGAAGACCTACTAATTATGAGCATGAGTGAGTGGATTAAGGATTTAACGTTGAGCATGCTCTTAACCCTCGAACACTGAGTTTGAATAAAATACGAAACATCGAACACCCTGAACTCTCAAGTAATATAAGCTTATAACGTTAACGTTATGCAAAGGGACTTGATGACAGCCAGTCAGGCACTGGATTATATATACCAGACAAATACGAGTCCAATATAGCAGCTGCTGGAGTTGAAAGGGTTACATCTGTTATAGTTCAAAGTACACTATATATATTATATTTCAACATGAAATGAAAGAACATTTGGATATCCAAATGTCTGTTATAAGTAGCCTATATTGTGTCTTGTATTTCAGATGTATTTTAGATCAGTTTTTAGACCTAGGTATGAAGAGAGCTAGTGGAGATGATAAAGATACTGATATATTTAAAGAAGAAATTGTCGCCTCAACATTATACAATAAAATATTAGGATTATTATCATGGCTTGTAACCCAGGCTTCGGCTAAATCAGCTCTCATACATATCTTAAAGTCAATGTAGGTAGCTTCATTCATGTTTATATGTGTGTGGATCCATCTGTATGAGTTTATTTGCATTGGATAATTCAACAGTGCTGTTAAGTAAAATTTTGTTTGGTTTGCATTATCGCATCATAGTTTGCCATTTAAAATGATCTCTTTTGCGATATAATATTTCTTACGATTAGCAAAAATTGAAATTTTTCAGGCAGATCTGTGAATCAAATGAAATTGTATATATTTTTCTGTGATAATCAAATTTTAAAAATCTAAATTAAACCCTGTGGTCATAGCAAAAGATGGTATTTTCCCTTGGAAAGGAGAGTGGTGAATGAACCCCAAAAGGACAACAATCAAACTCAGTACTACACGCAGATTCAATGATAGTTATAGTCTATATTTTTTTTTTTTTTCAGAAATAAAAGCGATGAAAAGTATAAAGCTTTTATACCTGGTATATTAAATCAGATGAATATAGTATGTGATAAAACTATTCATATACAAATACAAGAAAATATATTGGTAAGTACTGTTAGTAGTAATTGAATTTCAAACAAAATTTATTAAAGAACATTACTCAGCAATCAAACTTCATTAATGTTTAGTTTTATTTAAAACTACTCAGTTTATTGATTTGATTGGTGATCACTTCTCAGCAACTTGATAATAGTTGATTAGTGATTTATAATTTAGATACTAATCTGTAAAATGAGTTGATTAAAGAACACTACTCAGTATCAAATCTAATAACAGTAAAAAATTGATAGTGAGTTGTATTTAAAACCACTCAGTTTAATGATTTGATTAAAGAACACTACTCAGTAATCAAACATAATAACAGTAGAAAATTGATAGTGAGTTGTATTTAAAACTACTCAGTTTGATTTTTGATTAAAGAACACTACTCAGTAATCAAACCTAATGATAATAGAAACTTGATAATGAGTTGTATTTAAAACTACTCAGTTTAATGATTTGATCAATGAACATTACTCTGTAATCAAAAATAATAATAGTGGAAAATTGACAGTGAGTTGTATTTAAAACTACTCAGTTTGATGATTTGATTAAAGAACACTACTCAGTAATCAACCTTGAAAAAAGATTGATGTAATTGCTGAGTTTATGAAGCAATAAATTTTAATCAGTCAAAACCTTTATTTTCACTGTTAAAATGGTGCTCAATACAACAATTCTAGAGCGATATAGAAATATTAAAACAGAACCTAAAAAAACATGTTGTTACTTGCAATGCAATCTTCTGAAGAAACTCTGAGTAACAACATGTTTTTGTGTTTTTTTTTTAGTTTCTGTTTTAATATTTCTATACCTCTCTGCATTTAATGTATTGAGCACTATTTTAACAGTGAGAGTTTTTTTGTTATTGATATATTTTTAGAATATTATTATGAGTGTATGTGATCCAGAAGTAACAATGGTTTCTAATGAATCAACTATGACTTTACCAGAACAGGTGAGAAGAGTTTATTGTTTCCTTACCTCACTATCACAGGTGGCGCTCGATTGGTGCATCCTGAACAGGTTCTGTCTGTTCCATTTGGCTTCAATTGAAAGGGTACAGAACCAGAAGTAACATTCAAAATTTATCCATCTTAACCTTTTCGGCCATTTTTAATTCTGTCTAATACTTTCTTTGGGGAACTCATTCTGAGCCAACTCGTTTTTATTGAATGTCTGGTTGGTTCAATGAATTTTATGTTATTTTATGTTATTTTAGTTAGCTAATAGCTTACCAGATAAGGAAGTGTTATGTCCCACATTAAAAGCTTTATTAGAACATATAGAACGACCTGAACATAATTTTACATCAGTAATGCCCTGTGTTAGAACTCTAGTCTCTTTGACTTTTTATGATTATGGTTTCTTTTATGTCAAAAGGTAAGTTTAGACTTAACTTTTTTTTAATAGTTTATTTGAGTATTGGTTTAGAAAAACATTAAATCAAAACCTGAAACATATTGTTACTCAGAGTAACAGACAACTGGCATTAAACTCTGACCAACAACATGTTTCAGGTTCTGTTTTGATATTTCTTTTTCGCATTACATTTAATGTATTAGCACAGGGCTGTTTATTTGGTGCTATTTGCCAGTCTTGCCAATTTAAGCACTATCTTAATAGTGAAATAATTTTGTTGTTGAATATTGGATTATAGTGAAACCTTTGGTCTTATTACAATGTATAATAAAAAGACTAAGGTTGAGTTGGACATCGAATAGTAAAATTGCTATGTAAGAGAGATCAAAGGTCATATACCAATTTCGATGACTTTAAAGCTTCCCATCTCCAGTTCTATTTTTATGAATAGTGTTACTATTGATGATCTTACTTTGATTCAATATTTCCACAGTAATAAATACTGTGCCTTGCTTTCTATTTACAGATGTATAGACCAGAATCCAACTGCCATCAATAAATTACTCCATAGATTAAATAACTGTTTTAGTAAAGATAACCCTGATTGTTTATCTACGTTATCTTCGACTATAGACTTACTAAATATCTTAGTCTACATTGACCCCGAGGAAGGAGGGGTCAGAACATACACACTCTCCCCTACTGAACTACAAGATATCTTGGAATGGACTACATCTGAAGATCATCCTTTGATAGAGTTAGATAAATTATTAAAGGTATGTTCCAGTACTATTCCATTTTCTCCTGCAAATTTAGAAGGTGATTGCTCTTCTGGTGCCAAGAAAATATAGTTGAAATGCTTTCATGTGGTGACCCCATCTTCATAATGTCCAGCTATTACAAACTTTGTCTTATACCTTGACTGCAATAGCCATCTTTCTTGTATCACGGAATGTGGCAAAACATCATTAAATTCATAAACTTTTTTTTGTTGTATATTTGAAGAATCTGGATAAAGATGAGGTAATAGATAATTTATTAGAAACTATTGGAACTATCCTGAAAGTCTTGAATGAACCAGATGTAACAGATGCCCCTGCCAGATCAGGTAACTATTTTTGGACTGTTAAGATTATTTTATATTTAAGTTTGTTCTGCTATTGAGAGGATAGGAGGGAGGATGACAGTTTATTGTCTGAGTCTGTGGATCGAATGGTAGCATAATTTAATGCTGAGACATATTTTTGAACAGTTGTCACATTTGCTGTTATGACCAATATCATAGTAGTACCGGTAACACTTGAGAGCAGTTTGAATTTCCTTACTACCGCCAATTCCATTTGTACTTAGATTAATTTCAGACAAACCAGGCACAGTAATTTCAATCTGAAAAGTGATTGGGTTAGCTGAAGTTAGCTCTATTGAACTGTAAAACAGATATCTAGCATTTGTAATTTCCCATGTAATGAATATTGTTTTTGTAATTTTCAGAAATACTAGAAGTAGTGTTACCAGAAGGTCAAAGTTTAAACAGTCTATATAATCAGAGATCGGTCTATATAGTCAGTAATGAAGGTGAGGAAGAGAGGTTAAGTCCTACAGCCTGGTTAGCTAATCCTTGTAATGATGAGTTAGATGCTGAGTCAGACGTGGTGATGACCAATGTGGAAGAAATGTGTAAGAGATATTGTGGTGACTTTAATCTAGAGGAAGAGTTGATTAAAGGAGTGGAACTAGCTGCCGGTATAATTGTTATTAAACCTAAACGACTCAAGTAAGTACTGACCATATCATAATACTTTTCTCTGTAGTGGCTAGTGTCTCGTGGGTTTGCTCACCTTTTGGAATGAAGCTTGGTGGGTAAGACGCTTGCTCACTACTTTTATGGTCCAGGGTTCAATCCTGTCGTAGGATTGAAGTATATCTTTTGGTTAATAAACCAGTTTTTCTGTCAGTGATGAAGGTCATAGAGATCGTGTCTTGCAATTTAAAGACCCCAAGAAAGTTTGGAATCAAAGAACAGTAGGCTTATGTTGTTTACCTTATTACGCTCTGCATGGGGTCTTCATTAGCCTAATATGGTGCGTCTGTCTTTTACAGAGATTTACGAAGATCACAAGAAGGTATCAATATTTACAGTCGTGGTAGAGGTGGTGCTAGAAGACCTTTTGGTAAGTTAACTGACATCCTTAAAGTCTACTGTAGGTACCTTATAAAGTTGCTGTGTTATCATTTAATGTGGTGTAAAATGTACACGATTAATGGATTTACAAATTAATTTCATAGTTGATTAGTTCGATTGGGAATTGATTATTAGCAACATTTGGCTTTCAACAAAAAATCACTAATGTCAGCTAATACACAATCAAGGACTTGAAATCATTGAAAGTCATGATGTTATATTTCAGTGGCACCAATGAGGGGAAGAGGTATAATGCATGGTTTAGTTAGTAGTGGACGGCCTAATGATCCTTTCCGCTCTCGTCCAGCCAATACCAGTAGACCACCTTCTATGCATGTGGATGATTTCATTAAGATGGAGAAACATCAAGGTCCTGAAGGATCACCTCACAGTACACCACCTCCACCACGTAGAATTGAGGTCAGTATAATAGAGAATCAAACTAGAGTAAGCTTATGACCTGTCCAGACAAAATTTCTCTTATTGCACACTGCATGGCTACAGTTTTCTTTGCTCAATCAAGGGCAGAATATATAAAGTGAAACACCTTTCATTTCATATACAATCGAGTGGTAGAAGCAGTCATGAAATTTCTGTTTCTTATTAAGCTTTTGTTTCCTTGTGTGCTTCAGGCAGGCTTGTAAGTTCAGTTGAAATGAAAAATTAGTTGCCTAATGCGGCTTAAAAAATCTTCATTGCACACTCAAAGAATAAGTGTTGGATATCTATATATATAAAACTCTATTTATTTCATAAACAATGTTTATCTGTAAGGAAAATATAGTTCACAGATTTACGATATATACGGTAATAAGACTGATATGTTATATTTTGATCAGGAACCATTTAGAGGACGTGGTAGAGGAGGATTTGATAGAGGACGAGGTAGTTTTAGTAATAGAGGACGTTTCTTTACTCCTCCATCTAGTTATGGTAGACATGATCTAGGTCCTCCCAGAAGTGGTGGTAAGTATATTTTTCTTTTGATTTGCACATTTCTATCAGGAATTCTGCAATTAGTGTTCACGTTCCGCTGTGTTCAGGGTCCAGGGTTCAATCCTGGCATAGGTTGGGATAATACCTTTGGAGATTTCAACCCTGTTTCGACTTATGCACGTCGGAGTGGCTGACATAATAAAAAGTGTCTAGTTCTTTGGGTGGGAAATTAAAACAAGGTCTTCAGATTTCGAAGGAAAGTTTCAAAATAGAATTATGATTTATTTTACAGGGTTAATGGAAAGTCGAGGGAGAGGCAGAGGGCGTCCCTTTTCTAGAGGAAGGTTAGTGTTTATTATCATTTGTATTATGAACCTGGTGTTCTAAGCATCTGTAACAGATGATATTGAAGTATAAGATAATGATTGACAGGTCATCATAATGTTGGGAATTACAAAGCCTGGGTCAAAGATTCAAACAAACATTTTCTCGTTTAATATAACTGGACGTTCAGTTTAATATCCCATATTATGTGGCTAAGAGCAGCTGGTAGTGTCGAAACGGTTTAATTTTTACCTTCTACATGGTTATTATGGTTATCTTCGGCAAAAAAAGAGAATTGGGTTTGATTTGTTTTTTCAGTGGTGATTACAGATCTAATATTGACAGTAATATAAGAGAGAGATTTTCACCACGTGGTAGAGCACCACATTGGGCACCACATAAAGCTGGTGATCCAGATCCAAGGTAAGTGGCTTAAAGTATGGTGGTGGTACACTATTATTGTTCTGTTGAATAGCACATCTCTAACAAAAGCCAAATCTGCCCTGTCAATCTATTTCTTAGTAACCATGACAACTGATATTTAGAACTAGGTTTTTGGACAATAATTGTCCCTGAAATTTAAGACATGTGTACATGTAATGTGTGTCTTTCTTCAAAAATGTATATGTAATATACAGAAATTGAATTTGTAGTGAAATTGCACCATAATTTATTTCATTTCAGATTTAGCAGTAGTTTCCGAGGCAGACGTGACCCACCAGGACGCCATGTTAGATCTTTTACTAAATAGCCAAATGGTATGGTCATAGATAAACTGTTAAAAACTGTACAATCAAAATAATTTACGTTTCCAAATATTTTCTGATTTCACTGATATGACATGTTCGGAGAACTGGATTTGTTTTAATACACATAAGGACTTGAATTTAAATTTGAAAAACTGGCTACCTGCTTTTGAACCAGTAGTGCTACTTGAATGAAACCAAATATTCACAGTGTTGCATATTATCTAAAATTTTCTCACAAAAGCGTATTTTCATGATTGATTACAAAGAAATCTCAGCACTTTGATTGATCGTGTACCTTAGTTCAATTTTTTAAAACAAGTTTGATTTCTGTGTAATCAAATAAAATTTTAAGAATACAAAATCATTTTTATTGCCTCCAGAGAATAGGGATAAAAATAGGGGAGAGATTAACTCAATGGGGGGTGGGGGGGACATCAGCTCTGTGAAAGCCCCATAGAGAGGGTTCTGTCTAGAGAAAATGTCTGAAAAACTGAATTGATTTGGTGCATTCTGATTCAAAATTATGTGTTTGAATCTGTTGATGCTTGTGTTAAGAAAGCTGCCTGCAGATTTCTTTCAAAATAAAGGGCTATTATATGAATATACAAGTTCTTTAATCATTTGTTCATTGCGACCATTTATTTTCCTCATTGCACAGTGCATGGAATTGCAAATTGTAGGGAGGTACCTCTCAAGGCATTCACTCAAATCAATACACCACTTGTGGCTGTCAAATAGCTCGGTCAGTAACCAGATGTCCTGAAAATCTGATGCCACAAAGAGTGCTTGTGAGAGTTGGCCCAGTGTCAGCACCTGTTGTAAAACCTAAGCTCAGAAACAAATGAACACTACATTATAGTAAATGTTTTTAATCAAATTTAATAAGGTCTGATATAATGGGTAATAACAAATACTGTTACATGCACAAAATATACAAAATATTATCTTATTTTATAGCACTATATAGATATAGCTGTATATTTTAAATAATACACTTATTATAGACCATCAAATATGTTCAAGGGAGATTGCTCAGTTTTATTGAATTTTTGTTCCAAAATAAATTTCTTTTTTTTTATGAAACAAGGTATAAGGTATTAGATATATCGAATTCTTTGGATAAGAAACGTGTTCAAATACTGTTTTGGTATTAAACTACATAATGAAATAAATTGTCTGCAACATTTAAGGAGGTTATCATTGTTATGAAATCGTACCCATTCCTGAGAAATGATATGTTTTGCTATTTAACCACATGCCAAAAATCATCAACAACAACAAAACAAGTATGTCATGACTGTAATTAGGCAATTACAGAATAAAACATAAAATCAAATATCTATTAACAAAAGAAAAATGTCCAACAAATTAGTTCTTCGATGTCTTTACAAAATATTTTAGGCCAAGAGCTGTGATGGTAGATTTTTGCTCACTAACCTGAAGGGCCAGGGTTTAATCCTTGCATGTGTCTAGATAATATCTTCATATTTTTCCCTTTTTGCCCTAATGAGTGATGCCAGTCTCATAGCACACGTTATGGTCTTTATAAGTCAAATCAGCAAAAAAAAAAATTTTTTTCTTACATTTTTTTTCCAAGTTTCTAGAAAATATTCTGTATAATTTGTTCTTGTGAAATACTGCACCATAAAACTGGAATAACAAATGAGCAAAAATAATAGCTTAAGAACAATTCACCTTCAAAAAAGCATTGCACAATTTCTAAACAAAATAATACACCTCAGTCATTCATGCAAAATATAAATCAAACAAGTAAACATCAGTGCATAAATTATAATTATTAATAAAAAAAAAAGAAATGTGTTCCAATATTGTTATACTCTGTCAAAGTCAGGGATGTTGATTTTACTGTATTTGCCAGTTAAGTCTGCTTTGATAATTATGAGCATTTTCATGATACAGCTGGATATGTCTGGCAGATAAAAATAAAGCAACAACCCTGCTCTAAGCTTTCTTGTTGAGGAGTGAATTTATTTAAAAAGGTATTTGAATATGAATATTTGAATAATAAATTACATTAAATACATAAAGTGTAAAACTGTTGTTTTTCTACGCTGTATAAAAAGGCTTATTTACAATGAGCACTAAGATTGCTGAATTTCTGATATTAAAACAGGTACAAACACATAGATGTGAACATATAAAAACAGTAATATTTTTTAAAGATTTTCTACAAGTTTTAACTGCTTTTTTTTTTGCAATATACCTCGATATGAGTATATTACATAGTAGTTGCCTTTTTGATATGCATTGAAGTCATATTCATATCCCTCTTCCCTCTAAGCAAGCTCAACTTAAGTTTTGGCAAGATTTTTGCTCCAAGAGTATACCTAGTATGATACAGCTGTAAGATTAAAACCATACAGCTGCACAAATAATACCATTCAGCTGAAGATTAGTACCATACAGCTGTAAAATTAATACCATACAGCTGTACTAATAGTACCATACAGCTGTACTAATAGTACCATACAGCTGTAAGATTAGTACCATACAGCTGTACGATTAGTACCATACAGCTATAAGATTAATACCATACAGCTATAAGATTAATACCGTACAGCTGTTAAATCAATACCATACAGCTATAAGATTAATACCGTACAGCTGTTAAATCAATACCATACAGCTGTAAAATCAATACCATACAGCTGTAAAATTAATACCATACCATTGGTTTACATCACATACTCTGACATCTTTGCTTGCAAATGAGTTTCAACTCAGGTATATTGTCTATATCAATGTTTTTGTCTTTAACTTTTTGAAGTTTAAGCTCCAGATCTTGCTTGTCTTTTCCAAGTTCCCAACAGAGTCTGATAGTGAGTATTAAAACGGCGACATAAGTTTCATCACAGTCATCTTCATCATAACACATGACTGCTGCCTCGGAGTATTTCTGAGATATATGCGGTCTATCCAGGCTTTTGTAGCAGATGGCTAAGGCACACAATATATTGATCACAGTTGAGTTTGTGTTGCCATAAAGTTTTTCTGTCAACGGAAGACAATATTCTAAATTTGCTATTGCATTCGTATAATTTTCCTGTTGAAGATTCTTATAGCCATCTCGTAAACTATCGAGCAAGAAAAATTCTAAAAAATCTCGCGAGTAACGAATTTGATATATTGCATACAAATGGCTGAGATATTGTTCAAATGCTCTACTTCTAGTTGCTATGGTAGCCTGCCGAAAATTACCCATCAAAACTTTCCTTGGAAATGCAACTGCTTCCATTTGATCTGGAAAACGCTTCCTTAACACTGCATTTAATTTTTCAAAATCTGAAAATCTTCTTTCAATACAGGATATATCTGAATCTTCAGTATGGCTGCTGATCTGTATTGTGTATAACTGAAATGAAATTGTATAAAAAAAATGAAATGAAATTGTGTAAAACTAAAATGAAATTGTAAATGAAATGAAATGGTGTAAAACTGAAATGAAATGAAATGAGGTTCTAAGAGCACATGGTTCTGCATTCAAAGTAAAATTCTGTTTTATTTTGTGAATGAAAACCTGAAAATATATCGATATTATACTATCTGAAAACGTGCCAAGTCTTGCAAGTCCAAGCCAGGGATAGGTTATAAAAATTTGTTTATACAATAGATGACATTAACGTGAATGGCGAAATAAACACACATGGTAAATCATACTTCCTTATATTATAAATAGTTACTTAAAGTAATACAAACTATTTAATTAGTATTTGAAAAGTTATCATGTCCTGAACTCTTCACAAGCTTAGTTAAATATTACCTTTGCAATTAAAGGCACATATATATATGAATTTTTCAACAGGTAGAACCTAGCGACAAATGTAAGGACTAATATTATTCATTTATGGAAAAATCATAATGATATTGAAAACTACAAATACGTTATAGACAGTTTATAAAATATGCATTCATTAAAAAAAATCCAGTACAGTTGACTAACAGTTTTGGCACAATTTCAAAAATAACAGATGTCATTTATATGCCATTTATATATAACGTGCAAATTAAACAAAATTAGGACTCTAAATATAGCAAAATACTAAATCCTCATACACATTTAAACAATCAATTAGTTTCCTCTATAATTTTCAGTATAAGCTTATTATTCCAAGCATTTACTTTGATAGAGTTTTGATATTTTTATTAAATTGCATAAGATTCTGAAGTCAGATTCTGTTTTTTTAAAGTATGGCAATAAGCTATAAGCAGTTCCATCTGCTTGTAATGCCAATGATTTGACCATTTGGGGCAAATACTTACTACAAAACTTGTTCTATTTTCTTTAATAATATCAGCTGACATAACTTCAAATACTGCATTACATCCTGTATTCTTTCTACCATTTAATCTTATTATTCTAGAGGTCTTTACTTCTGAAATTCAATTAAACATATAATATAATATTACTCATGCTCTATATAAGCCTACATATTATCCTGTTCACACAGTATTATTCTTTTCTCAAGTCATAAATTGAATGGACAGATGCCAAAAGATCAGTAAAACGTTTATATTCAACTATTTCTTTGTTAAATAGCCATGACTCAGAGTGAAATGTATTTCCAATAAGTCACTTATTCATTTTAATACTATAAGGCCAGGAATGAAGCATATATACAATTATTATTTTGCATAGGATTTGTTAGGTCTACATGTTTTATATTTTTACCTTCATTGTTACTAATTCCATCTTCAGGTATTTCCAGATCTAATGTTCCAGCGAATTCATTTATTAAACAATCTTGATCATCAGTCAAATCTAAATCTTGTGGATCTTCAGTGTTACATTTCAAATATTTCTCAGTGCTTGGGTATTTAGATTTTTTCTTCAAGAAAGCCATTTTTGACGTCATTTACTTTCTTCAAGATGCTGAGCCTACGTCATTGATATTGGTAGATTTACTCACTGAAGATATAAAAATGGAGAAATGCACTCTGCACCAACTTCGGCAACTAACTTTTAAGACTGTACAACCAATTAAGAATAAGTTTACAATGAGTTATGTTGACATGAGGATGGTAATAAATGTTTCACATCAAGTCCAAAAATACCCCTAAGAGTTTAAAATCCAAATCTAGGCATATGGATTATTAACAGAAGATAATGGACCTTTTTATAGGCTATCCTTTATAAATTTAAATTTAGTCTCCTGTACTTGCATAATTCTAGCCTACATCACAGAAAATATAGTGAAACAATCAAACTTATGTACGTGTAGCTGACACAGATCAGATCTTCAAAAAAGATCTGGATGCACTTTTTAGTGTTTGTGTCACTGACACCAAACAATGACTGTCGTCAGTGTTCTCAGATTCAGCAGAATAAGACTGGCAGGAAACGTAAAGCCAGAACCAGAACAGACAGAGTGAACATGATCTAACTAAATCCACCTTACTCACATGCTTACCTTCTTTACGAATATTAAACTTGAAAGGTCTGATTCTGAATCACGAAAGTCCATACTGCATGACTAACTTGTAAAGTTAAACCTTTCCTTGTTTATTATAACACCTAAGACGAATTTTATTATACTTTCTGTCAAAAATAAACAAAATGTCAACAAAGACTTTAGAAAATGGTCGAACTTGATTATTACAAAGTTTTTACCGGGCTCATTTGAAAAGTTTTTTCCAGGTCAATATTACGTAAAAATATTTTCAAATGGAAATCGTATTGATACGAGAAAATCCACGGAACGAAAATTGTTCATCTGACAATATAAGATTTTCATATTTCCGAACTGTGTGCCACGCCAACGAGGTCTAAGATGACTACTCTTACAAGATTCTATTTTGTTTTAGTTAAAGTCTTCTGTCATTCATATGATTAATCTGCTTGTTGAGTGAGTTGTGAGATAATCGTAGAGTTTAGACCCCAGTTTAGATTTAACGATAGTTATTTTAGTCTCATTAATTTTTATCATTATTATTCTCTATTTAGTATTATCAACCGCTTTGGAAATCAAGTATAGCCCAAGAAGTTGATGTCACATCCGACATACTCCGCAGTAAATTTATGGGAGAAATTGTTTTTGAGAGTGAATGTTAAAGAAAAGGCTGCATAATTTCATTGATTGAATGCGAAATTGTAACGAACAATTGATATAAATTCCACAAATTGATTCGTCGGTATATTTGTTCTTAGAGTTCACTCAACAATTCTATTTTGATCAATTTGATGTGACCTCCCCGCCAAGATGGCGTCCGAAGTATCGCAATCAGCTTGTTACACAGATAAAAATCGAATATCTTCCCTCTTAGCCAAATTAAACGACCAGAGGAGTCATTCTCGATTTTGTGATGTGGTACTTAAAGTTTGTGGTGAACAAATATATGCCCATTCAAATATTTTGGCAGCTGCCAGTGATTATTTCGGTGCTTTTTTGGGACAGGCTCAAGATTGGCCAAGAGCTTTTTCACAGAAGACACCACAAATTATTGAAATTTACATTGACACTTCCGAGGGTGATAGTGGTGGGTATGGAGAAGCAGTCAGAAAGGTTGTTGAATTTATGTATACCAGTGAAATCAATCTTACAAATGAAATTATCTTTCAAGTGTTGGAAATTTCCAAGATCATGCAAATGGATCAGATTATGGAATTTTGCAGAAGATTTGAAAAAGCTGATTATGGTGGTAGTGAGAAGCAGGTTGATGCTGTACCTAAGATAACAATTGGCACCATGACAGATTATGAGAGACCTGATGAAACCGAAAATGAGTTTCTGGTGAATCTTGGCACTATAGATGAAACAGAAGTGGATGATGTTTCAAGAGATCCAGATTATGAAGCTCATATCAAAGTTCAGCAAAATCATCAAAAGAAGAAAAGAGGTCGAGGAAGGCCTAGGAAGATTCAGGAACAAGACCCTGATGCGTGTTCTTCTGAACCCAATCCAGAAACTGTAAACATTAATGAAGAAGAAGATCAAAATTTATGTGTTTTCTTGGCAGATTCATCAGAAATAGATGGTCCAACACCATCCTTAGAAAATAATGATGAAACAGAAGCAAGTAAGAGTCCTGATAGTATTGAAAATTATGAAGTGACAATGAATGATGTGGAAAGCGTACCAAAGGTTATGGTGAAGACAGAGCCTTTAAGCCCTGAACCACGTTACAGTAGACGAATAAGAAAGATCAAGGAAAGACCAGACTATATCACACCAGATTTGGCCAAAGTTAAGAAGCCAGATGAAGAAACACCAGATGCTTACAAAAAAGGAATTGAAGCATATGAAACTTCTCAGAATATGCGTTTCATGTGTAAAAAATGTGGCTTTATCGCTTCTAAATTCAGTGAATACACCAGCCATAAATTTTCTGAACATGGCCCAGACAATCCAGCTGTTGTGCCTGTACAGGTACCAAGAAAGGAATTCAAATGTGACAAGTGTGACTTTGTGACCAAAAAACAACCAGAATTCAGAGAACATTCTAGAAATCATTTACATGGGGAACTGATATGTAGTTTTTGTGATTTCCAAGCTGAATCGAAAGAAGAATTTGACTCGCATGTTCTAAGACATACAGGAGCACTTCCTTTCTTTTGTTTAAATTGTGATGTGAGGTTTAAGAACAAAGCCCAACTGAATGCTCATTTGCCTAAACATTCTGTTGTGAAACCCTTTGTGTGTAATTTATGCAATGCTGGCTTTAAGTGGAAACATGCACTGAAAAGTCATATGATTGTTCATTGCACAACTAAAGACCATCTGTGTGACATTTGTGGTTTTGCTACAGCTCATAAAAGTATGCTGAAAGCTCACAAATTGATCCATTCGGGAAATACATACAAATGCCAATTTCATAATTGTACTTTCCAGGCCACAAAGAAACAGAATTTGAAGTATCATATGTTAACCCATTCTGGAGAAAAGCCTCATCAATGTGAAATTTGTGGTCAAAGTTTCTCGCTAGTTAAAAACATGAAGAGACATAAACTAATGCATTCAAGTCATAAACCTATTAAATGTGATGTAGTGGACTGTCAATTTGGCACAACACGATATGATAAACTTAAAGAGCACAAGTTGAAGCAACATGGTAGTGGGGAACCTCCCAATAAAAAGTTACGCCTCTCAGATTATCAAACTTTGGCTGAGAATTCTCAGATTATTCATATTACTGAAGGACAATTGAATGAGGCACTGGCTGCAACTCAGAATATACCAGAAGGTCAAATCATAGCCACTGTTGACCATACTGGATTGATTGGCGTACAATATGCAGAAATTGATAATGCTGCTGAATTTATACAATATGTTACTAGCATGGAAACAACATGATAGTGTATTAACATGGAAACAACATGATAGTGTATTAACATGGAAACAACATGATTGTTTGTATTATAAGTGCAATTTTCTTAATCAAATCTGTCGAAACAATGAAATGTTTAAGAAGGCCATATACAGGCTACGTTCAAAATTCATATGCAATTGAGTTTTTTTGTCTTTTTAGTAGGGAGAAATTCCCTTTCATATGAAAATTTTCCATGACAGCTTTGAATATTTCCACGAAATGAGCGATTAAAATTAAAATTAGACCAAACTTTGTTCGTTTTTTCCATTAGCTTTCCATTTACTTTTAATATAGCCACTTCAGTTAGGGTCAAACGACAGCCCTCTGAAATGTTTATCAAATTAACCTTCTGACATATGATAACTCCATGACGTCTGCTTTGAACATTCAAATTTCTATCCTCTCAAGCACTGACATTTTGTGTTTATCAGGTTAGTACAAAAGCTTAAATTGACAAACATTCAAGAGGGCTGTCATTAGACCCTAACTAAAGCTAATAGAAAAAAAAAACAGAATGGAAATTTGGTCTAAGTTTAATTGCAATATTGTGTCCTATCCTCAGTAACGTATCATGATAATTTGTGATAAGTATTGTGTCATGGCAATACCAAGCACCTGTCTCAACGTGACATGAATTGGGTTCCTTTATTTACATTGATTGTAAAACAGTATTAAATAAATTACATTACTATGGTGCTATAATATTTATTGTGGAAATGTTACATTAAAGATCAAAAATATTCAATTTAAACAAAGTGTGTTTACATTGTTTTTTCTTGAGTCTGTATCTCTGAGACAGCCCTGATCTACATCTTATTCAGATGGCACTATCTAAGACAGACAAGGGTGTTTGTTGACAGTATAACAGTTTGAGGGTAGGGGGCTGGAGGACATTTTTTCTATATTTCGTTTTGATTTAGTTGTATGAAAAGACTGTTTTCACTCTTTTTGGGAGATTTTAGGTGGCCCTGAAAATGGCCGTTGTTTTTTTAGTTTTGAACTAAAGTTCGGCACACAGCTTATTTGGAGCTGGTGTATTTGGTGTCAGCCTTTGTTCCTTTCGGAAACGGCGCGCTTCCGGGTAACAGAAGTCGAACGGCAGTTTGGATTTCCCTGCCGGAGAATAATATGAGATGAGATCTTGTCAAATATAAATATGCTTAGTGCTAGAAAAAATGTCTACACATTTTGAGGGGATATGACCTAATGAGTTATTTTCAAAGTGGAAGGGGGAAATAATGATTCAAACTTATATATAAGTTTATTGTATTAATTATACTACCGGTATATCATATACTAAATAGTGCACCAATCTAAACTTACTTCATCAAATTAACAACAAACAATAACGTCTTATCAAAGGACGGAAAATATATAATTTACAATAGAAATATATCTGAAATAGAAGAGGGAAGACATTATTAAAAATAATTATTTAAAAAGTAATCTACATTATAACAACAACAAAAATCATTTCAATACAAACATAAAATATACCAAATTATTGCAGTCTAATTAAAATAAGAACAAACTTTTGTAAGTTTATTTTCTATTAGCTTTTGGCGTGAACAAAAGGTGCATTCACTGACTTGAGCTTCTCAAGAGTAAGAATGCACCTTTTCACATCATAAAATCCCAGAGTTGAAGGGAAGGAATTTGATTGGCTGCCAGTGTCATCAAACAGATGAATATAAAAGAAGGCCATCTTTAGACCCAAACTTAAGTGGCTATATTAAAAAGTAAAAGCTAATAAAAAATTAAAAAATGAAAGTTTGGTCTAGTAAACAATACTAAATTACCAGGTATTTTTTTTTTCAAATTTTATTAAAGATGATAAAACAATAATACTGATAAATCTGACAAGAGTTACTTGCCCATTTTACTCTTTTACCTTTTATACCAAAACTTCATTTGTACAATGAGTAGGAACCTATTTTAAATTGTAAGCTGCACTTTTTGTAAGACCAACAGATTTTAAATTACTGTTTATTTGTTTTCTTATAATTATAAGCGTAATTTTGGACCCTAAAAATCATAATTTTACTACTCTCTTTTGAAGATGAAATTTTTGAAAGTTTTAGTTGTATTATATAAATGTATCCATGATACAAGTTGGTTCGGTGTCAATCCTGATGGAGACAATCTAAGTCTTAATAGTTTTGTAAAGTTCAGTTCATATCACTTTCAAGAATGAAAATCATACATGTAGATCATCTACGCCCGAATGTAGCATATGAATATTGTACAATAGTATTAGTTTTTATCTGAGATTAATATTGTTTGATTAAAATTTTCCTGAGATTTAAATCATTGTTTTACAAAATTAGAATTTCTTTCAAATTCCAAGAAATTAAAGATAGATGCTATGAAAACATATAATTTTGCTCCCATAAATCAAATCCATAAAACTAATATGACTATAAAATAAACTATAATGGACCAATAAAAATTGTCTACTGTCTGACTACATTGAGCTCTGAATTGAATTTTTTCTCTCATTTCTTAAACATTCAAAATATCGATCGTATACCATTTGTCTTAGAATGTCTTTGGGTCCATAGAAACATAAGGTTCAGTGATTTTACATTTGAAAGAGACACACTTTCCTCCCAGAAAATTCATTTTACTTTTTTGACTGAAAATTCCCTTCTGTAAAATCATGATTACAAATAATAACTTTTCCAGTGGTTGACATTTTCATCAATCCAAATTATGACTCTTAGTAGTACTTTGTAGTTGATATTTCAATGTATTCCAAAATGATTGGCAAAATTCATATCAGAAACCAGTGTAGTCAGAGATAAGTGGTCTATTTTACTAATAAACAAAAACAAAATATAAATGATTAGAGTTTAGATGTAAACTGCATATCATTTGCCCAATCATAAACTAGTTGAGCTGCATCAACTGCTGTTCCCCAACTTAATGATATACCATTGGCTCCATGTCCATAATTATGTACCACCTGAAAGAAAATTGAATTTCATATATCTTGAAAATTACAGTATAAATTGTATAGTAAATAGATCTATATACACATAAATGTTTTGCTATCCCACAATTTAAAATAGGCCTTTAATTGGTTGGTAAATGATTATATTAGGACAGGACTGTAGTTGAAAAGTTGTTAGATTACAATACAGAAGTAAATATCAGAATGTAGTTTTAATTAAATGGTGACAAACTATACCTTTAACTTTTTTCCATCAAAATTTTTGAGTTCTTTCTCTATTCTTACTGGTTCTCTTGTAGGTCTTAATCCTACCCAATTACGTACAACTTTGGCACCCTAGTTATCAAATACAAAATATTTAAATTATGCATGGATATATAATGGCACTGAGAATGTTTATGTGGCATCAGTTGTCATAGCTTTAAAGGGATTGTACAGAGGGTTTATAACTTAATGTGTGTCGAGGACACTGATAGCATCAATTTCCACTTGTCTATTTTTAAATTAGGTTTCTGTGGTTCCTGCAATTTAATTTACGTGTTTGATGATTTCACTAAATTACTGTGCATTACCTTAATTTCTGGGCAAAGTTCTTCACATCTACGCATAATGTCGTTACACAAATCTTCATCAATATCGAGACTATAATCACCCTTTTTTCTGCAACCACCTAATACAACTTCTCCATTGAATCTACCAATTATAGTAAGTATAGTAATTTGTTTATAAGGGCCAATTGAAGATAGCTCATCAGGCAAGGTAATATACACCTACTGAAAGCTTTGATTTTAAATAAAAATGTAAACTTACTGAGGTATAAAATGTAAATTTACTGAGTATTGAAAGTATACTTACCTTAGTATTAAATGTAAACTTACTGAGGTATAAAATGTAAATTTACTGAGTATGGAAAGTATAATTACTGAGGTATTAAATGTAAACTTACTGAGGTATTAAATGTAAATTTACGGAGTATTGAAAGTATAATTACCTAGGTATTAAATGTAAACTTACTGAGGTATTAAATATGTATCTGTATCTGTATTCATATACCATTGTTTTAACCATGGGGCAAAGACCTAAAAAAAATATAAGAACTGTAAGTTTTTCAGAATGTCTTTGTTTTTGCTTTTCAGAGATTTTGTCAATAATTAACATTTTCACTATTGTAGAGCAGGGTTCAATGTAAGCTGTATCGCATCCTAGTTTGTGATCCAAAATTTCCTATGATTAGCCAAAATTAAAAATTTAAACAACAATCTGCACATCAAATTAAACTGTATATTTTTAGAAATAATTTTGTCGCCAAATCTACAAAATATATGGCCACTCTATGGCCTGAATTAATCATTGGCAAAATATTTTTGAAGGTTTACTACTTATTGCTACTGAATTGTTAAGAAATGCAAATAAATATTTCTCTTGATTAGCTAAAACTAAAATTTGGTGTGATAAATTGTTAATAAAATTTGTCAATCTTAAATTGGGTCTTTTAGATCATTGTAGTATGTATAGGATAAAACACATCCAAAGGTATTCAATGGTCAATGTTATGGTCAATGGTCAACAACACTTACTCTAACAGTATGACCTTGAACTGGAAATATTCCATCATCATTCAATAACTCTTTCGCTCTTAATCCACAACATGTAACAACAATATCATATTTACCAACAAACTGAAATATTAACAATATCAAACCCAAGTATAAACAATATTAAACTGAAATATTAACTATATCAAACCGAAATATTAACAATATCAAACTGAAATATAAGCAAAGTCTCAAACTGAAATATTAGTATTATTAAACTGAAATATTAACAATATCAAACTGAAATATTAATAGTCTCAAACAGAAATATTAACAATATCAAACAAATAGGCCCCTATATTAACTATATCAAGCTGAAATATTAACATTATCAAACTGAAATATAAACAATATCTCCAACTGAAATATAAACAAAATCTCTAACTGAAATATTGACAATATCAAACTGAAATATTAACAATATCAAACTAAAATATTAACAATATCAAACTGAAATATTAACAATATCAAACTGAAATATTAACAATATCAATTAATTATTTACAATATCAAACTGAAATATTAACAATATCAAACTGAAATATTAACAATATTAAACTGAAATATTAACAATATCAAACTGGAATATTAACAATGTCTAACTGAAATATTTAAAAAATCAAACTGTAATATTAATTATTTACAATATCAAACTGAAATATTAACAATATCAAACCAAAATATTTACAATATCAAACTGAAATATTTACAATATCAAACTGAAATATTAACAATATCAAACCAAAATATTAACAATATCAAACTGAAATATTTACAATATCAAACTGAAATATTGACAATGTCAAACAAAATAATTTACAATATAATACTGATATCAAATTTGAATATATTTACAGTATCAAAATATATAGCATCTGTGGCTGATTTGGACATATTTTAATTAGAAAAGGAAATTATTTCAGATAGGTAAGCTTGACTTTACTCTTAAACTTTGAAAATTCTTTTTGATTTTCATTATAAATCATTCTATAGATGAAGACAAAGGCTTACCTCCTTTAAAGAAACAACAGTTTGAAAAATAACTGTTCCACCTTTCTCACGAAATCTGAAACACAGAGACAACAATAAAGAATTGTTGCTGCTGTTCTAGTAAAATTCCCCTCACTGCACACTGCATTATGATACTGTGCAACCAGAAGCAGATAAAAAGGACACAACTCAAGGTCAATTGCTATCTATGTTATCTCCCCATGATAAATAACCAATAGATAAACTTACTCTTTCATCAAGAAGGTTAAATATTTAGGTGGTGAAATTCCCAATGTAGAAAAAAAATAACTGTGTCTGAAAATGATATAGTTGATAATAATTAGATAATGCTAGTATATAAGTATATTCAAGCAGCATGATAACTATTTTCAGCATGAAATGACTGGTTTATTATTCATTATTTTCTTTTTTGGCGAAATTCTTTTGCCATGGCTCAACAAATTTAAACAAACGAGAACTTTTTTATAAGAGAACACGAAAACGTAAAGTTAAATTTCTGAAACTTACGCTTGATTGAAGCCTTTTCTTCGTTTTTCTTCTTCTGACAACTCTCTTACATTTAACACAGTAGAATCACATAGCTCATCATTCTAAAAACAATTTCCATAAAATAGTGGACCAAAGCCATATACATCCACCACGGCATGCAGATGGTAAAAACGAAACATCTTAAGTTTCATCAAAATCGGTTGAAAACTAAGAGAGTAATAGCATATTCAAGATTTTGGGGCAAGGGCAATAGCTCAAATTCGAACTTAATCTTCGTCTTATGAATATGTATACACATACCGAATTTCATTTGATTCTAGTTTTTAGAGCATTTACAAGCAAATGTTGACGGGCGGCCCGATCGACCGATGGACCGACGGACGGGGGTGCCGACAATATATGTCCACATAGAGAGATGTGGGCATATAAAAATGAGACCATTGTTAAAAGGAATAGTAAGCTTTGTGTTAATATCAAAATAAAATTAAAGTTTCTGTTTTGAAAACTCTTCAATTTTATACCCACAGAATCAGACAATTACACAATGCATTTATATTCTTTAAATGAAAAAAACAAAGTTTCACCTTAGTCTCAGAAATAGTCTTGTCTTGGGAAATTTTAAGCCAATCACTAATAGTGTTCACATCCCAACATCGAAGTATTAACATAATATATCCAAGACTCAAATCAATCCCACAAAATGGCGCATCTGTCCCTTTAAATCACATTTTGTTCCTTTTCTACAAGATGTAGCAGATCTAACATATAATCTATTTTGGTTATACCAACCTGTTCTTGCTCACTAACAACATAACCTCCAAGATGAAATACGCCTGATTCACTACTTCTACCACCTTTACTTAAACCAGAAAAATACTCCCATGATGCATTACACCATCGCCTAGTTAAACAAATATAAACAAAATTGAAAAAGTCTTAGCTCAGACATATAAAACTAAAAAATCTGTTTCCCTTTAATCTGTTGCTTGGGAACAAAAAACTTGAGGGAAACTACAATAACCATATTCCGCCAAAAAAATATAAGAACAACAACACTGATATTGTGACTTAATCAGGTCAGGAACGGTCTTCAATATTAGCACCTTCGATCATCAGCAATCAAATACAAAATGGCTGACTGTCAATATTGACTGGCCGCCTCAGTTGAAAACTAGAAAACATTTTTTTCACTGCTTATAATACCAAACCCTAATTTAGCAAGCCTTTTCAGTGTCAAAAACTGCACACTATACATGCAAATTTTTGGTATATGTTTTAAGCCATCTTAAAGATGGGTTTCCTTATTTTCATTTATAAAAAATACTTATATGACTAGAATAAAGACTAATGACTTGGAAATATAATAGTTTGTCTCACATGTCCATAATTAATTCATAATTAGAAAATTACAATGAGTGGCCGATCAAGAAAGGTCAAAAAGTCCTCTTTTTTTTTATCCAGACTGTACATACTTATACATTTATGATTGGTTAAAACTTTTAATTATATGCAATAAGAACATTATGCTTTGATTAAGAATACATGATAATTCATTAGAAACACCAATTAATCAAATAGTTTGCTAATTGACACTGAAAAATAAGGAAACCCATCTTTAATTATAACATTTGAATAGCTCTAACCAAAATTATTTAGGCATGAGGTCACGAAGAAACTCTTACTTTAAAACTACCTTGTCACCTTTTATATGGCGATAGGTAGGTCGTATTAATCCTCCAGCACCATAACTTGTAGTGTCTTTCTCAAATTTATCTGCTATAACAGTAACAGTTGCATTAGGTAGTCGATTCTGTATATTTACAGCTGTTGACAAGCCAATGATCCCTGCTCCAATTACTGCAATGTTGATCATTTTAGTTGATTTTCAGGTCTTAAATGAAAAAAAAATCAATAGTGAAAAATAGCCTTAATTTGATCTCGTTTAAAGAGATTAAAAAAGATGGTTTTAAACTATTTAAAGGGATTGTAGAGAGGTTTTTGAAAATTTTTGTATATCTGGAACACCCAAAGTATCCCATTACATGTTTCAGTCAGATTATGTGAATCTTGCAATTCCACTAAGCATTGTATGATGCAGCTATAACAAATATCTTTAGATGTTTCCATAGTGATATTATAGTGATGTCATACAGTTAAGCATTTCTAAAATTTCAGACTTGAAAAAGCATCTGGTCACTCAGATGTGCAAGTTAAAGATCCCTCGACAATTGTAAATTGAAAATGAGCAGGCCAATGCTGCTGTCCTAACAAAATTCTCCCCACTGCATCCTGCATGGCGTTGCCCGTTTTAATTAGCCCACATGGTGCAGAAAAGTAGGAAGTAAAACTCCATTTCTAAAATTTCAGGAACCACAGAAATTACAGGAATTATATAGAAGATATCTATAAAGAAATAAGAATTACCTGTCAATATATCAATGATGATCATTCAACACTCAGAGTCTACCCAGCACTGCATAAATTCTAATCAGGATGTTACATATATACTGAAACTAATAAATTCAACCATGTGGAAAAAAAAAGTAATTGTTTTAAATTGCTACCAACTCTTGATACTCTTTATAATATAATTTTTATACGCCCACATGTAAGATGGGCGTATATTGTAATCACCCCGTCGGTCCGTCGGTTCACATTTGGCTCGTGCTCACTCTACAGGTTACAGTTCTTTATGGATTCTTTTGATTTTTATTTTGTGTGTCAATGTCATTATGAAGATGATCCCTATTGATTTTCGTGATGATCGGATAATTTTTCACCGAAATATCGTGTCTGACTTGACGTTTTTCTCTATTAGCTTTATGGATTCTTTTGATTTTTATTTTGTGTGTCAATGTCATTATGAAGATGATCCCTATTGATTTTCATGATGATCTATCAATTTTCATGATGATCGGATAATTTTTCACCGAAATATCGTGTCTGACCTGACGTTTTACTCTATTAGCTATATTGTGCAACTCGTGCTCACTCTACAGGCTACAATTCTTTACAGATTCTTTTGATTTTTATTTTGTATGTCAATGTCATTATGAAGATGATCCCTATTAGTTATATTGTGCAACCCTGTAGTCACTAAAGACTGTTTAATCATTTCTGACAGCTGCCAGTGGGCGTATGTTACCTTGCCTGGAAAGCTATCTTTATCATAGTAATATATCTTTTATCTTTTGTTCATGGGCAATTATTTAAAACCTGACAATTGGAGGTTGTATGAACACGAACATTACATTTAATTTATTCAAACTGGTGTCAAAGAGACATTAAAATATCCAGCCTTTGAGCAGTGATGGCTCAGTGATTTAGAAGCTCGCTTCCTAAACTGAAAGTTTAAGGTTGTTGTCCAACCATAGGTGTGGATAATATCTTCTGATTTTTCAACCCAGTTACTCCCTGTCAGTCTTTTACCTAAGACATGAAATGTGTTGAGTCATTCAGATGGGACTTTTTATCATGGCCCTGTGTGCTACAAAAACGCTCAACAGTTTGAAATGGATAAAGAGCACGCTTGGAACAAATTTCCCTCACTACACACTGCATGATGTTGCCCAGGTGTGGAAAAATGAGACAAAAAACTCCATTTCATTTAGAAACATGATATGAGAAATGTTAATGGGATGAAATAAAAAAAAAAAGCATCTAGTCGTTCAGCCATGATGATATGATGATATTTAATTTGGCTAATGAAGTCAAGATACTGGTACATTTGGCACATATTCAGCTGTACATTGCCTTCGTTTTAATATACAATAATATATATATAGCTATTCGTTCTCAGAGGATAAAGTTCCATCAAGCTCTCTAATAAATTTTTAACTCTTAATCAGTGAGGCTAGTTACTATGGAAACACTCCAAAGCGAAGTCAAGGTATAAGACAGAGTTGGTAATAGCTTCAGATTGTGAAGATGGACAAAGTCAGAATTAACATTTGAAAGAGTCTCACTAGAATGTTACACAAATTTTAGAAAAAGTTCTTGCATTAGAAAATACCCTTAGTTAATTCAACACATTATTTAAACCGGTACTAAATTTTCATCAAAAATTAAATTACTTATTTTTAATTTACCTTTAAAGATTTCATGTATCCAAATAACGTTTAAAAGTAGGTTACATTCACTTTCTTATCTCAAATAAGTACATATGTTCAAGTAGATTTCAAGTTCAATCTTATCATGATACCACAAGGTTAGATAAATTGTTACTTGAGAAGGAGAGAGTAAGTGCACTGCATCCTAAAAGTTCTTGTAATATGTAATTATTCTCTAGTCAAGTCCATGTTAAAGGTGCATTCCGCTTTTTTTGTAGGTTAGAAAAAATTTTGCTCAAATTAGTGAAAACTTTCAAAATTTAGAGAAATGTGCCCTTTAACGCACCCGAAAGTTTTAGCTTAAAAAATCCAGCCATTAATTTTTTAACACCAAAAATATTTAGAAATATTACGTAAGCTTTTACAGTACTTTATGCTATTTGGAAGCTGTTATATAACTACTGTACGGATTTAAGTAAAATAAACGCCTAAATGTAGAACAGTTTCATCTAATAATGTTGAGCCATTATAAAGCTCGAAAACTAGACCAATCTGTTCATTAATTAACAATTAGTACATATTCAGTTTGATCAAGTAGACACTTAGATATAAATAGTATACTTTAGAAATATTTTCAGGTATAACGGTTTTGATAATAAAAATTTTTCCATAGTGCATACTGCCCATTAAAGTGATGCAGTCGAGTAAGCAACTTATAGAATCTGTCCATGAGAATTAAATAATGCATATATCAGATAATAATAACAAATATTTACAGGGATGTAGTATGATAGCTTTACCAGCTGAAAAGCTCAGTTTCAGATTTTTAAATTCTGATATTTGGTTTCTCTTCAATTCAACAAAAGTTTAGGCCATCATTGTACACAGCATTAAGTATTGCAGGTGAAAATGGTAATAGAAGCTTGGAAATGATGCCTGTCTAAATCACATGCATTGTTAGGGCAAGCTGAAGTCTGATGTTTCATTCTGAAAAGTAATACACATAGTAAAAATTTAGCTCTATCTTCCTCTGAGGCTATATCCCTTTAAATATCTACATTTTATAAACAGATAACTATAACTTAAAGTGATTGTAGGTCATATTTAATGAATGGAGTTCATAGAAACTGGAATTTTTAGCTGAGCTAATCAGTAATAGTGTTCACAGCTCACTGTTGAAATTAGAGCCTTCAAATCCATGTGTGTTCAGAAATATCCGTGTTTGAATATTAAAATGACGACTCTTCACAACTCTTTGTCTACTCCAACGGTAGCTTTCACAACCTGGTTACCTATTCTTGTGGTAGCTTTTACAAATCAAATGAAATGAAAGGAGTTTTACATCCTACTTTTCTGCACCATGTGGGCTAATGAAGACAGGCAACACCATGCAGGGTACAATGAAAGAAATTTTGCCAGGACAGAGGCATTAGCCTGCTCTTTTTCGATTTCCAACCATTGAGGTATCTTTAATGTGCACAACCTGTAGCACACAGGGCCTCGGTCTATTGTCCCATCCAAACGACTAGACTCTTTTTCCATATCCGCCTCTCTTACCTGCATCACTGACGATGGGAAACTGGGTTGAAGGTTTCATCTCAATGTATGCCAGGATTGAACCCAAAACCTTCAGCAGAATCTATTTCACATTAATGAATTTTATCATTGTTATTCTTTATTAGATTATATGTATAGCATATAAAAAAGGTTGCACCACAAGTGTTCAATGAAAATTCAATGCAAAATTTGCATTATCAAAAATGTATCTACTTGATCAAACTGAAATTGTTTTTAAAAGATTAATTGAAAACGAAGAGAGTACTAAATTCTAATTAAGTAGTTTGACCTGGTTTTGGTGATTGGCTTTTGTTGGCTCGTTATATTTAGTTGGAATCTTTAGCAGACATATTTCTGATACAATAACGCTTAATTTTACATAAATTTATGCAGTACTTTTCTCACAGCTTCTAAAGAGCATAACGAACTTTAAAAGCTAAAAATAAACGACTTGATTTTTTTTAGTTAAAACTTTCAGATACTGTAAGGGATACATTTCTCTAGATTTAGGAGTATAGTTTTCACGAATATGAGCAAAAAAAATAGATGACTAACAAAAAAGCTGTGCTTAGTATGTAGCATATACTGCTCAGTAACTTGGCCTCAATCCAAATGACTTTTCATTATGTTAGTCCCTTTTACTTCACATCTAAAATAGAAATAGAAAAAGTTTGCTGGGGTCATTGTCCATTGCACACTGCATGGTTTTACCAGTTTTTAACACCTCTACTTCACTTATATTAAAGTGATACTACGTCTACGAATGAACATACAATTTAAGTTCTCGAAATGGTCAATATAAGTATATATTCATCAGTGAACTTACCTGGTGTCATAAAGTTACAACAGACTCCCTGTAAAATCTGGAAAATTGGAAAATTCATAGTACTAAGTAATTATTGAAAATATTGATATTAAGCGTTTTTCAATAGTTAATTGTATATTTATGGATAATTACTAAGTTTTTTTGGATTTAACAGATTATATAAGGATCCTGTTATGTTATTTATGACACCAGGTATATCTACTGACTATTATTTGCCAAGTTTAAAATTCGTAAATTTTATGTTAATTCTAAGACGTAGTATCACTTTAAAATTAGTTCATGATATAAGCTTATATTTCATTTGGACTATAAAGCACTACAGGAAATGACTATTTTCTCACTTGTTCCTCCACATCTAAATCTCTCATTTTTTATTTTACATCAAAATCCAAATCCACGCCAAAAATAGGCATGCAAAAGCTGAGAAAAAGTAGTCTGATGCCCAAACCATACCTGTGTATGACGAGGGGAGGCTGGATGATAGAGGCTAAAAAAAAGGGGGAATGTCTAAAAATACTGTGGACTTCATTTATTTATAATCATTTCAGCATAATTTTGTTGGACTCCATTTTATGATTTTCTTTTGACCAATCATACTTAAGTTTCAGAAAATGGATTTTTTCAGCTAATCAATAATAGTGTTCACAGCTCACCATCGAAAATTGAGCCTTCAAATCCATGTCTTTCCAGAATTATCCCTGATTGAATGTTAAAATGACGACTCATCAATTTAAGATACTCTGTGATATACAGAAAAGATATAGTATTGATATAGTGAGTAAATTTTCTAGTTTAAGATATTTTTGAAGAAATTATGAGATTTTCGTACATTTTTAGTACTTCTGAAGACTACTTACTTATATTCTAGAATAAAGTCTACCCCCGAAAAAGGCGCATTGTCCTTTAAGTTACAAGGTGTTACAGAGTTATTTCCCATGTTATAACTGTTTGAAGTGTACCATGATTGAAAAGTGTTAAAAAATTAATTTATAGTTTAACTAAAATACCCAATGTAAAACCGAATTATGGAATAATCACACTTAGCAACTGACCTCAAATAAACGCCTGTAGTCTCAGCGCAATATAGTACCGGTATTCAACACCTGTTTTTCAATGTTTTTTGCTCGAATCCGACACTAAAACTTTAAATTATCTAAATTATTGACAAGGATCACTCTTACTTTTAGGCCCTATATTCATTGAAAGAATTTTAACCTGCAGAATGCTTATGTGTACGTCCAATGAAATGCTGTAAATCAGTGCGAGATCATGCCTGGCACTTATGCCTAGTTCACACCAACGGCAAATGCCGTGCTTTAAATCGGCGAGCAAAGCGCCATCATTTTTTGTTTACTTTTCCAAAAATATCACGATCTCCTAAGTAATGTTACGCTCTGATACGAATTGGTTACGAATTGGTTACGCTTTGGGGACGAATTATTTCCCGATTTGATCAGGCCTTGTTACGCTTTAAATCACGCTTTGATAAACATTATCAAGCTCTGTTGTGCATTGTTAAGCTCTGTTACGCATTAGAAAATTTCGAAATGGCCGCTTTTGATCAAGTAGTGACAGACTGTGAAGACTGGGGTCCCAGCTTTGAATAAAGCTCTGTTAAGCTTTCCTACGCTTTGAGTCAAGCTTTGCTGAACTTTGTTAAGCTTTGATACGTTCTCGGCGCTTTAATCATTCGTGACAGAGCGCCCAAAATTTTTAAACAGTTTAAAATTTTTTGGTGCTCTTGCCGAATATCCAGCTTTGCTCAAAGCTTTCCAACGATCTATTACGACCCTGGCGCTTTATTTGAGCTTTGTTACGCTTTGGTAGCGCTTTGTACGCCGCTTTAAAGCGCCATCAAAGCACCGTTGGTGTAAACTGAGCATAACATGTGTGCTGTACTTTGGTAGACAATGAAGAATGGGATCCATATGAGCACACACATCTGACCATTCTGAAAACAAGTACAATTGACCAATGTGTGAGTAAGGTGCCAACAGCGATTAAAAAAAGAGATAGATAATGCACATTGAATGGTGTTGATCATCCTCATTTGCAGGTGCAGAAAAATCTATTTGACCAGATACCTCTTTCAGCGTCCTGGCTTCTCAAAATTATGTCTGATTGCTGTCTGCTTTGATTTTATGCCGTATGGCAGAACAACTTCTCATGAATAGGCATACAGGTGCCTTATCTTTAAGATTCCTTAGCTGTATTGATGCCCATAATAATGATGCCAATATTAATTATGATGAATATCATGGCTTGACTTTGTACAATTTTATCATCAATCATGAACACAAATTTAGGCTAAGCTGAAAAGTATTTCTTATACTTACAGAATGTGCATTGTGTCATGAAACTTTTGTCATATCTTTTCAAACCTGATGCTCCGACCAAAGTCTCATGAACGGCCTTGGTACACAAATCTTACATAATATCAATAAAACGAAAGAAGAGACATGCATACTATAAATAGATCGTATAATTTTGTAAACAAAAATTTGATTGGTTCATAATATGACCATGATATATTTCGACTAATTTGATTGGTTGATTATTAGCCTTCGGCAGCGTAACATAGTGTGTTAAAATAAGACTGACAGAGAATGGAAATGGAAATTTTCGAGTCAAAAGTCTAAGGTACTGAACTTGTTTTGTCATAATTTCCGTGCTCTTTGATACATTATATAAATAGTTTAGATGTTAGTTAGGTAAGACAATGAAATAGACTATTTCTGCTCCCTATACGCTGGAATTCCATCATTGACTGCAAAATTCGTCTGTAAGGAGAATCAATGTTACTGTAAAACCTTTTTAATGCGGTCAAACCTCTTTAATATGGACATTGATTCAATTTGTATAATATTTGCTTTCTTCTTTTTAAAAGGTAGTTGTAGATTATTTTAAAAGCGAAACCAACAATGAAAAACGTAAAAGGTTTATGGCAAGGAGCTTCAGTCCTATGTAGGACCAGAAGATATGGAGTCAGAACAAATGCATTTTTTAAGTTCTTACCAAGTAAGTATAATTAGCTATTTGGCCTAGCCTATATTGTGTCGTTTAGTCCGTTTATTCCTTCCTTATGTCTCTTTTATGACAAATTGCCACTTTAAAAGGTTGCCTTTGAAGTAATTGTTTCAAATAGAAGTTCCTATCCAGGCAAGAATAAAATTCATTTAGGAAAGACTTTTTTTTCAAGTAACCCTAAATTTTTTCAAAGTAAGGCACCGATGAAAGAATTTATTGCATTTAAATATACAGGCACATAGGACAATGCCTTAGCATAATATATATGTAAATACATGTATATACATCATATTATATAATTTTTGAAATAAAATATAATATGGATCCAGTTATAAATTGAATTAATTACCGTAATGAATGCACAGCTATGCATATATGCATGATTAGCAAATTAAATTCCATTGAAAAATATATTTGCATTAATATAATTTGATGCATTGTGGCATATAAGTGTAAATAATAAACATACATAATTTGTAAAATCAAATAAATAAATTTGAAATTAATTGATATTAAAAGAATATGCATAACTAAACATGAATGAATAATATATTAAATTACATAGAGAAATATATAAGTAATGACATAATTTGGTGCATAAGTATATCATTATTCATAATCATAGTTGTTTAAATATACTATATGATATCAAATTAATGAATGCATTGATATATATATTTGTATGATAACACATTAAATTACATAGAAATATGTATTGGTAATAACATAGGCCTAATTTGATGCATAAGTATATTAATGTACATAATCATAAGTGTTTAAATATATACATATAAAGTTAATGAATGCATTGATCAACATATTTGTATTATAACACACTATATTGCATAGAAATATATATTTGCAAGGATATAACTTGATGAATAGCGGTATCAACAATTGAAGTATATAACTTTTGCATAACCTAAAAATTAAAACAGTAAATTATTTAATTTTTTGTCTATATACAGACTACTTCAGAAGGTGCATTAAGATTTGATAAAGTCTTGATTTATTCTAGAAATATTAAAACCTAGAAGTCATGTAATAATTTTGTGTTCTAAAATGAAATATTATTGATTCCTTATCACATTGATCGATTACTGTTAGAAAACAAAGGCAGGTTATTCTGTGCTGATGTTATAAGTTGGTCTGTTTACTGCATCAATATTATTAAACTTTTTCCTCCTTTTCTGTCAATTGCCACAGCTGTATGGAGGTATAAAGGCAATTATTTTGAAAAAAAAACATCCTGACTTTGAAAGTGCCTTTTTTTCAATCATATAATTTAACCTAGTCATATATCTGTTTGCCCAACAGATGTAGTGATAAAGCATTTTTAAGTAGGTTAGAAAAAAACTTAAAAAATCAAATACATTGTTTTGGTTATTATCAAATACATTGTTTTGGTTATTATCAAATACATTGTTTTGGTTATTATCAAATATATGTACATTGTTTTGGTTATTATCAAATACATTGTTTTGGTTATTATTAAATACATGTACATTGTTTTGGTTGTTATCAAATACATTGTTTTGGGGCATTTAAAATATATTGTTTTGTTTGTTATCATATACATTGTTTTGGGGCATTTAAAATATTTTGTTTTGGATGAAGTGTAAGGTTTTGGTCAAATTGAGATATTTTGTTTTGGTTATTATGAAATATATTGTTTTGAAATATCTTGTAATGGTTACATTTTTTGGTTAGATTGAAATTAATTGTTTTGGTTCTTATTGAATACCGGTATATTGTTTTGGTTATTATTGAATATATTGTTTTGGTTATTATGAAATACACTGTTTTGGGTTAAACGAATTTGATGATAGATATAAAATGTTTATTTACGTGGGGAAATCAGATATGTCTGTCTGTTTTAAAAGATGTTGGTCAGGTGATAAAATCGCAGTTATTAATCAACTGTCTTTAACAACTTTTTTTTAGTTAATTGGTCTTTTATTGTAAGGCTATGATATTTAATAACAGTGACAAACAACAGTTAAAGCTGTTATCCCTCATTAGTACATTGTTTTGCAAGCTGTAAAGCATCTGGAAGGCTTTAGAATTTCAAGTCAAACACCCTAACTAGTATCGAATCATGGAATTGGTACTTATAGTTTTAAGGATGTCTATTAAAAAGCAATATTTTAAAGGGGCATTTTTGTATCATATATACAGAACAGAAACTTTATTCAACAATAGAAAGGGAATAAAGTCTGGACATGATCCATTCTTAAATTTGATATAAGAAGTGGATTTTAATAACTTTAAATCTGATTTTGTCTAACTAACAAAACTAGCTGGCCTATGTGAGTTTATACTATATATTAACCAAAAGGTGTTGATTACTGAAGCAGACCTTGTGTTATAACATGAATAAACAATTTTGATAACTTGTGCAAATGGAAATATGTAAGGATGTAAGATTGTAAGATTAGATTGTTTGTTTTTCAATATTGATAATGTTGAGCCAGCGATAAATTATTGCTGTGTCAGAATTTGTCAATTTTACAATGATATGGCATAAATTATTACAATGGTTACAAAGACTGTGGTAAATGATAACTCCTTATATCACCATTTGTTATCAAACTTCCCCAGTGATGCAGGTCGCAGGGGCTCGCATGGTAAAAGCATTGTTTAGGACAATAAACCGAAGCCCTGTGAGTTATAGGATGTTCATGTTTAAGATCCTTCAGCAGTTTTAAATAGAAAAGAGCAGGCCAATGCTGCTGTCTTGGCAGAATTACCCTCATTGCACAACTGCATGGTGTTAGCCTCATTAGCTCAATCAGGTGCAGAAGTGTATAACATAAAACTCCATTTTATTTTTGTTTTCAAATCACTGGAAATCAATCTTCTGTTGGCCTTTGGACAAGAATACCATTATCTCATTATACATGACATATAGCTATAGATTTCTCTTGCCTAATTAATTGATTTGATACATTCGGTGACTCAACTAAAAAAGAGAAATTTGCAACAATACTTCTATAACAGTGGTTCTCAACCTATTTTAGCCTTCACACCCTTAAAGCAATCACATGGACCTTTCACATAAATTTGTTTCATCCACATTTTTAGCATGCAATGTATTTAAACACAATGTAACAGTAATAACCTTGAAGTATTTGTAGGAATTAGAGCATTTAAAAGGAAGTTACTTATTATTATGAAATTAAGGTAAAGACCCATCCACACAAGTATCTGTACTATTGATAATAGTAGGAAATGATACATGATATTTATGTTAGTTTCAAATGTTAATGATATTGATTTTACTCTTAGTAGGGAAACGATACATGATATTGCCAATAAGTAAGATAAGTAGGAAAGAGATACATACAGAAGGAGATATTGATATTATTTGGAAAATGGTACATATAACTTATAAGTAAAATATGGACAGTAGTGATAGTAGGAAAGCATTATTATTTGAAAAATTGACACATATTACATATAAGTAAAATATCCACAGTATTGATAGTAGGGAAGCGTTACATACAGAATGAGATATTGATATTATTTGGAAAATAATGGATGATGATAAACTTAGTTTTAAATAGGACACATGGTATTGATTTTAGACATGAAAAGATGTCTGATATTGATAATAGAAAAATGGTACATAATATTGATATAAGTAGGTAGATGATACATACAAGTACAGAAAGATATTCATATTAGTTGGAAAATCATGGATGATAATAAAATTAGTTTGAAAATGATACATGGTTTGGACATTTATCAGGAAAAGATGTGTGATGTTGATAATAGTAGGGAAAAATGTACATGATATTGATAAAGTAACAAAATGATACATGATATTGATAAAGTAACAAATGATACATGATACATGATATTGATAAAGTAACAAAATGATACATGATATTGATATAAGTAACAAAATGATACATGATATTGATATAAGGAACAAAATGAACATGATATTGATATAAGGAACAAAATGATATTGATATAAGGAACAGAATGATACCTGATATTTATATTAGTAAGAAATTTATACATATATATTTTAATAAAGGGATAATAATGGATATTATGAGTCTTATGATGATATTAGTTGGAAAATGATATGTGATATTGATATTAGTTGGAAAATGATACATGATATTGATATTATTTGGAAAATGATACATGATATTGATATTATTTGGAAAATGATACATGATGATTATATTAGCAGGAAAATGATAAATGATACATGTTATTTATATAAGTTGGAAAATGATATAAGATATCTATGGATGGCTCAGTGTTGAATAAAGTTGAATTATAGAGATACTGGTAATATGGACAATGGCTGGGAAATTGGGTTTTGTCTTTGGTTATAAGGAAGGTACAAGTTGATAAAGTATTGGCTGTCCTTGACTAAAAATAAAATAATGTACTAGCAAGCTTACTATTTGTTTAAATGATTTGGCTCTATTTGTGTCTGTAAGAGATGACCAACTTAAAGTCTAAAGAAATGTTTTAGTGTGTTCATTTTTGTAGCCCATAGGGCTTGTTATTCAAAAGTGATATTTAAGAAATGCCATTTTTTAAGGAAACAAAAATTCTGTTTTACGTATTTCTTTGATTCTTTGACAAGAAAAAAAATCTTTCCAATTTACTTATCAGTTTAATGATTTGATTAAAGAACACCACTCAGTAATCAAACTTGATAATAACAGAAAATTATAGTAGAACATTGATAGTGAGTTGTATTTAAAACTACTAAATTTAATTATTTGATTAAGAACACTACTCAGTAGTGAAACATAATGATAATATATAATTGATAGTGAGTTATATTTAAAACTACTCAATTCAATGATTTGATTAAAGAACATTACTCAGTAATCAAACTCAATAATAGTAGAATAGTGAGTTATATTTAAAACTACTCAATTCAATGATTTGATTAAAGAACATTACTCAGTAATCAAACTCAATAATAGTAGAATAGTGATAGTGAGTTGTATTTAAAA